TTAGTCTAAACAGGTCAGGAGAGCGTGTTCTTTTAGAATTTACATTAAAAACAATTAATTCCAGCAGTTCCGGACAATCAACATAACCATTAAGAATTTTATGCAAAAAACGCAATTCACACTCAGATTCTCTATTTTCTAAAGTTTTCATATTAAGTTGATAAAGAATATAGTTATAATCTGGATACCTGGATATATATATATATATATATATATATATATATATATATATATATATATATATATATATATATATATATATCTGGATAATAATATGGATACCAAATAATATTACAATATTCCAAAATGGACCGAACTAGAGAACAATACAAAATTTTGAAAGTAAATATTGAAAATTCTCGGGAGTTCCTTTGAACAAAGCCGAGCATTCTATAAGCCCGCGATGTAATATTATTAATATGCCTATCAAACATTAGTCTTTGGTCAAATGTAATTCCAAGGTCTCTAATTTGATTTACTTCTGTAATCGATACTTCCTTAAGTATGTATGTTCTATATAACTGATGTTTAGTATTTCTGGAAAACGTAATTTTATAGCACTTTTTTATATTTAAATATAAGGCATTAATGTCACACCAATGAGATAAATTATTTAAGTCAGACTGAAGAGCATCCATATCAAAGGTATTTTTAATTGCTTTAAAGATCTTTATGTCATCAGCAAATAATAGAAATTCACTATTATTAATTACTGATGATATATCATTCACAAACAGAATAAATAGAAGTGGGCCTAAGTGGGAACCTTGAGGTACACCCGAAGTAACATTAATCGCTTCAGAAACAAAATCACCATATTTTACTATTTGTGAACGATCTGTTAAATAACTCGTGATCCAACCCAATAAATTATCTCCAATTACGTATCCACGAAGTTTAGCAATTAATATTTCGTGATTTACCCTGTCAAATGCTTTGGCAAAATCAGCATATATGGAGTCAACTTGGTTTCCCGATTCCATAGAATCAACAATGAAGTTTGAATACAAAATAAGATTTGTACAAGTAGATTTCTTTTGATAGAAACCATATTTACCGAGAATTAAATTTTTACAATCGTAGGTTAACATATGGTTAACAAAAAAATCAAGCAACTTTGGTAGTTCAGACTGCAAACAAACTGCCCTGTAATTTTTAACATTATTATTTTGACCAGATTTAAAAATAAGTTTTAAAAAACTCACTTTTCAAAAATCAGGAAATGTAGAAGTTAATGACTTATTGAATAATAACTGAATAGGTTTAGCAAGAGTGAATACACATTTTTTAATAAAATACATTGGTATACCATCTGGACCCGCTGTCAGTTTCCACGGATTATTCTGTATCTTATCAATAATATCCCTAACATTAATTAAATAATTATTAGCATTAACATAATTTTCGTACTTAAAATTAGGAATCTGATTTATTTTTCCTTTATTATAGACAGTCGAAAAGAACCCAGCAAATAAATTCACAATATCTGAACCATTTTCACTACTTTCATTACATAACTCATACTCGATGGTAGAACATGAGATTTGCTTTTATTATTTATATATTTCCAGAAAGAACAAGAATTATGAAAAATGCTAGCCTCAATTTCATTCACATGATGCCTTTGTAAATACTTGCTAAGCTCTTTACATTGTTCCCTGAGATCGGAAAAAAGACAATAGTTCTCATCACCATCAGTCATTTTAAATTTTTTATGTGCTTTTTTCTTCTCATAAAGTAAATGTTTTAACTCTGATGTAAATCATTTGGGATATGTAGATGTTTTAAATTGTTTTAATGGTATAAACAATTCTATTAAATAAAATAAAATATCATAAAAATCTTTAACTACGTCATTAATGCTTTTGTTAAGAAATAATAAATTCTAGTCAACTTCTGCTAAATAATAATTTAAAGCAACATAATCCCCATTTTTAAAGTCAAAATAGTCTTCTAGTAAAAATAATCATTTTTAAAGATCTTTCATCTTTATAGCTGGAAGCGCGTATATCAAACGTTAATAAATTTAAGTGTACTGATGTCGTAAGAAACTTTTAAATTTGCGTAGATCTTAAACTATCAGAACATCCTAAAAGTAAAATAGATTTCACAAAATTTAACATAAATTGGAAGTTCATAAAAACCACGCTACAAACGCCCGCAGATGAAGTGTTGTACTGGTGCGGATGAAGACCAGATAAGCAGCTGGTTTAATGAGAACTGTAAACGAGTAACCAAAGAGAAGAATGAGGCTCATCTAAAAATAATTACCAGAAGGACTAGGAGTAATGTAAAAGAATATCGAGTAAAGAAAAGAGAGAATGAACACGAGGTGTGTGGAAGAGTACTTTAAGTTATTCGAAAGTATTATTTTGGAAAACAATTTGTATGAAAAGTCTGGGCACATTTTTAACATGGACGAAACCGGGCTGCAACTGAACAACAAGCCAGGAAATGTTGTTGCCATTAAATGTTCCTAAAATATAACTTTCATTACATCTAGCTTGTGTCAGCGCTGAAGGTACATTTCTTCCCCCATACTACTTAATGAAGGGAAAGAACTTGACAGTTGATTTCATGGACGGGATGCTTCCTGGCTAAGTTGTAAAAATAAAAAAAAAATCTTCTTATATCACTAGTGAAATTTTTCTGCACTGGTTAAAAAGTCATTTTCAACCTAGAGAACCAGTCGGCAAAGTACTTCTCTTACTTGATAGTCACACTTCACACACCAGTTCCTTGGAAATCATAGTATACACGGAGTAAGAAGGAATCATTTTGATGAGCATTCCACTCCATACTTCGGACTGGCTACAATCTTTAAACCGATCCTTTTTCAAATCAAAATCACTTAAGTTTTACTTTTATAGTGCTCTCTAATTATTTCATTACAAATAATTCATCCAGACAGATCAATCGTCGGCAGTTTGGAAAACTTCTCAACTCTGCATGAACCAAAGCTGCAGGTGTACAAAACGGTGTGAGTGAATTTTAAGCTTGTGACATACTCCCTCTAGATATGTCTGTAATACCAGCCTACGCCTACCTAGAGCCCGATTTCTCCGGTGCAGTGCCCATTGTCCAAGTATTGGCGCACACTCTCGCTAGTGCATCAACCGGCTAGGTTGATCCTGCTGCCTCCAATGCAGAACTTATCGGCTAACACTCCAATGCTCTAAATAGTATGCCAACAAGTGGCACTGTTGATTATTTTGTTTTCTGTCCAGTACCAACAACTTAATTTGATCTTGCTAGCATCCCCAGTACTTCTTGTAGCCTTACACTGTCAAAAATGACTCCTTTAAAACTTCTAGAACATATATCACCCGTCCCTTCTCTCACACAGAAAGTAACCGTTAAGAGATGTATGACGACTGTTTCAAAAGTATTAAATTCAGTTCAGAACATTGCTGTTGTAAAAAGGATGGCAGTTGAGCAAGCAATGAAAGATAAACAACAAAAGAAAAAGAAACAAGATCAACTGAGAAAAAAATGAATCAAAAAAGAAGTTTCTCAAGCCAAAAAAGGAACCATCTGGAAAAGTGACACAGTTTGAAAGTTGAGACTCAGAAAGCTATGATTCTACAGATCTAGTCCAAGATGACGGTATGTCAGTAGAAGAATGGGATGAAGATAAATGGGTGGGATGTCGAGAGGCTTACAATGAAACTACAAAAAAAAAGAAGACTGGGTAAAGTATGTACAGGGTTCTCTGTGGTTTCATGAACTCTAGATTTGAAGTAAAATGTGACTTTTGCGGTACCAGGGAAATATAATGTCACAAAAAGGGAAGTTTCCCATTAATAGAAAGATTGTGGCCAAGAAAGCAAAAGAATAGACTTGTTTGTTTTTTTATTTGGTTATTGTAACCTTTATTATTATATAAAATATACAAATTTTTTACTTTATACTTGGTTTGTAGTCATTATACTCCTGGTCCCACTCACCCGGACATATCCGGATGAGATGGGCAATGCAAAGTTTCGCAAAAAAATTTAATGTAGCCTTTATTAATAATATTCAATAAGAAAGTAAACTCATAAGGAAATAAAACCAAATTCTTTCCAAATGACTAAATAATAATGTTAATAAGTTGACAAATATAAATTTAGTGAGCGTAAAAAAAAATGTTGTCCAACTCTTCCGGACTTACGCTATCTTGGTCATAGTGTGATTCGTAACATTTTATACTTGTATTTTGAATATAGTTTCTAACAATAATTCAACTTTTTAAATATCTATTTTGACTTGGTATCACCAATGCGATATATTTTAGGTACTTCTCCAGTAGCGTGGTGTTTATCTCTAACCTTAATTTAGTTGTCTCAAGAATATCGAAAAACGTTTTGAGTCATACTATTTTATTATAACTATTTAGAATATGTCACTATTTACAATTTTATTTTAGCGGGCAGAATATATGGGAGGACAGAAGTTTTGTTACGATATAATTAAAAATGAAACTGGAACAAAAACATGAAATGGAGATATCCAGGAGTGGCTAGTATACCTGCTAACAAAACCTTTGTTAATTCCACGAGGATTGTTCTATACCCTGGCCGCTTACAACATGGAATCCAAGGTCGCATGATCGCTGAATGCAAGCATCGACAGTCGGTCAAAATTAGATCTTCTGAAAAACTGTTTACACCGTCATTATATTATTTATCTATGTTCATTATTAATTTGTGTTTCACTTTCGCTGGTGAATTTTGTTGGCAGTGGTAAAAATTTTTTGTAGAGTTCACGCGCACGCATATTAATTTGCATTTAATTATATAGTTTCTAGTAGTAAAATAAGATACATGAATAGCTTAGGATCTTTTAAACCAATGATTAGAAATAAAAAACTTTTCAGTTTTTCGCTGAAAAACAAACTTTTCAGTGAAATTCCTGTCAAGCCTGAAAAATTGCTTATTTTATAATTGCCATGTGAGCAAACTGCTTAAACAACATTAATTATAACATATACTATATAGTAAAAGGAATAAACGACTGACCTTCGTACAACCAATCAGGTACCCCATGGCTAACGACACCTGGTACAGCGGTATGAGTCACTCTATATCCAGTATGTGATGTTGGCGTTTTTCTATAAAAAATATTGTAGTCTTGAACCATAACCAGAGCATGACCTTTTGGTGCCCATTGTGCAAGGAGTAAAAAAGGATGGTCGTCATCTTCTGGTATAGGGCGCAATGGAAAGTCGTTCCTGAAACAAAAGAAAAAGTTAAATATTCCCAATAAAAGATTGTATATTTTTATTAACAGTTATTATACAAAAAATGTTCATTAATTTTAGTTTAATTGGTTACTAATTCTTTAATATGCTAATATAGAAATCTGTTAAAAAATTTAGCTTTTCAGATATCACCAACAGCAGTTCATTGAAGAAAGCTAACATGAACTCCTTTACTAAAAATTAAAGAAAATATTTAAAACTCCTTTACTAAAAATATAAAGAAATAGGTCATTATACAGGGTGGTCCTTAGGGAATTGTACAAAAAGAAACCGCAGATTCTACGCTTTAAAATATTACGATTAAAGTCAACTTGCTGTAATAAAATGTTAATATTAAAAAAGATAAAGAGGTTTAAGTGGAAATTTAAAATTTTATTTTTAGCTATAACTTTCATGTTTGTAAACATTTATGTATAAAAATTTACAACTGGGTACTATTTAATATTAGGAATTATAATTTGATGCATACTTTGATATAACCAATAGAGGGCGCCACATATACTACATACGTGGCATACATTTGCACTTAACTTTTTGTTCTTCAAGTTAGCGGTATTTTTGATAAAAAATATTAAAGATACATTATTTTAACAAAGAAAAGGTATATTTGTTAATAACTTCAAAACTCAACAGTTTTCGAGATAATCGCAGTTTACAAATCAACTGCATAATTCTGATTTAACGCAATTACTCCAGGCAATGAAAGAAAAATAGATAAAAACATCAATACTTCTAAATGTTGTTATAAAATTCCTTTAATAAAGTTAATAATTAACGAAACATCAAATAAAATAAATATGTGAGCAGGATAATTAAAAATAGAATTCGATAAAATAACGAAATAATTGGATTTTAAATCAAACATTTTACGTTTTGTATTAAATTAAAGTCATAATCAAAACATTTTATTTACAAACCAAATTAAGAAATTGTTAAACTAAATAACATTGAACTTTTTGTCAAAGTAAGTGTTCGATATGTCCACCATTTTCTTTAATTCATTTGTTAATACATTCTATAAAATATTCTCTCATATTAAATAGCATCATTGGTTCCAAAGAAACAGCTGCAGTACTTATGATAAGTATAACAATAGGTATTCTTTTGGGATTTTTATGAATTAAATAATTATATTAATATCTTACCACATAATCAAGGAATATCACGAACAATCCAACGTTCAGGAAAGTTTTTTTTAAATACTCTCACTCCCCCTTCTCTGTAATGTATTGGTGTACCATCTTGCATAAACCAAATATTTAACCTTATGCTAATTCGCATATCTATAAAATATCATTCAAAATTCATATTTAAAATGCATGTCCTATGGTTTAGAATCATTGGTAATTATTTTTTACGGATATGGGAATTATTTTGCAATTTGAATGTCGAGATTTATTTACATTTTTTATAAAATTATTTTATTGATTTATTCAAAGAATTGTCATCAAACTTAAGGCGAAATATGTGGTTTCTACAATATGGTACACCATTCCGTTACAGAGAAAGTGAAGTGAGACAGTGTTTAAAAACAACTTTCCTGAACGTTGGATTGTTCGTGGTAGTCATATTTTTGTGGTGAGATATTAATATAATTATTTAATTTCTAAAAATTTCAAAAAATTACTTATTATTATACGTATAACACTTATAATAAATACTGCAGCAATTTCTTTAGAACCAATGATGCTATTTAATATGAGACGATATTTTATGGAATGTATTGACAAATGAATTAAAGAAAATGGTGGACATATTGAACACTTACTTTGACAAAAAGTTCAACGTTATTTAGTTTAACTATTTCTTAATTTGGTCTGTAAATAAAATGTTTTGATTATGCCTTTAATTTAATACAAAACGTAAAATGTTTAATGTAAAATCAAATCCTGTTATTTTATCCTGCTGATATATTTATTTTATTTAATAATTCGTTGACTATTACCTTTATTAAAAGTATTTTATACCAAAATTTAGAAGTATTGATGTTTTTCTTTAATTTTCTTTCGTTGTCTGGAGTAATTGAGGTAAATCAGAATTATGTAGTTGATTTCTAAAATGCGATTATCTCGAAAACTGTTGAGTTTTGAGGATATTAAGAAGTATACCTTTTTTTTGATAAAATAATGTATCTTCAATATTTTTTAATAAAAATATCCATAACTTGAGGAGCAAAAAAGTTAAGTGCAAATATATGCCACGTATGTGGCATATGTGGCGCCCTCCATCAGATACGTCAAAGTATACATCAAATTAAAATTTCTGATATTTAATACTACCCAGTTGTAAATTTTTATATACAAATGTTGACAAACATGAAAGTTATAGCAAAAAAAAAAAATTTGAATTTACACTTTAACACCCTGTATCTTTCTTAATATTAACATTTTATTAAAGCAACTTGACTTATATCGTAATATTTTAAAGTGTAGAATATACGGTTTCTTTTTGTATAATTACTTAAGGACCACCCTGTATATACCAATAAATTATATGGACATATAGAAATTTTAATCAAAATACTAAAATTTACAAATATAGCAAAATTGTTATACAATGATTGTTCAATTTTTTCACATACGAAAAATCGTGTAATTTTTTTGCTGTGTTATTAACTATCCTTCTATAACAATTTTACCACCATTACCTTAGTCTAACCCTTGATAACCCTTCCTATTCCAGTTCAACATCTTCTTCTTTATAAAAACAGACAGTTTTAAAAAAGCAAAGAAGAAAGACTCTCTCTTAATTGCTGACTGTCGCTAGGGACAGTCGTTCGCTTTTCCGTCTGCTGAGTCTCGCTAGGCAGATGTACTCTCTCTCTTACCTTTTGCTTATCGACAAGAACAGTCGCGTGTTATCTATCGCCGAGGAGACACTCTCTCTCTACTGTTATCTGCCACTAACTAATTATCTGTTTTCTGTTTTTAGTTACGCGAAAAATACCGCAAATACTATTTTAAATCGTGTGCAGACGCAAAATGTGCTCTATCTTGTGATCTCAGTGTTAGTACCGCGAAACACATGTTCAGAAACCGGTGCCCGGACAGATTTCACGTATGAAGAACAACCCAGAGTGAAAGCCTGTCATTACCAATCGTTAGCTGCATTATCCCCCTTCACAAATTAAGTTAGTCATTAATACACTTGTCACCTGATCAACACGTCTTTGCTATAATGCAAGTAGACCCGCAGTGCTCTATAGTTTAAAACTAGCCATTAAAAACGGTTACCGCGAAAATATCATTTATAGAAGCATCTACAGACATCAGTCTCCCATACATCATTCTCTCAATACAGCCAGTGTATGGAGCAGAGCTGGTAGGACTTTGTATAAACTTAATTTGCTATTGTCTTAATCTAAGGATTATTATTAAATGTTTAAGAAAACATAGTTTAAAAATCTGTTATGGTAAACTGGTGACAGGTGATCATCGGTTTTAGTGCTACTATTTAACGATTAATGGGATAGTCATTAAGGGGAAAACATTTTAACAACGCGTTTTTTCCCTCATGAATTATTCCTTTATTCGTTAAATAGTTGCAGTAATACCGATGATTACCTGTCACCTGTATACCAAAACGGATTTTTTAACTATGTTTTCTTAAACATTTAAGAATAATCCTTGTATCGGCACCATTTAGTTTACCATGTACCGGCGACCTGAAGATTCATAGCAAATTATAATATGCGAGACCAGTCGTTGGTGGTAAAATAAATTGTGAGTATGTCTTATCCTTATTTCTTTTTGCCTGTTTGAAATGGACACATGCAACATATTCAAGATTATTATAATAATAATACTAATACAATTATTACTGTTAATGGGAATATGCCAAAATTTAAGTTTAAAATAAGTTTATTTTGACGTTTTGATTTCCAGTTTGGAAATTTGGGTTCTTCCTGGGTTTTATATTTTGAGAAAACTTTTCGAAAGGGAAATCCAAATGTCAAAATAAACTTATTTTAAACTTAAGTTGTGGGTTATTTTCATGTGAAGTAGTAATTACATCACGACGCTACAAGAAAATAGGTTCAGAATAATTATACAGTTTTTGTATATATTATATTAAATTATCATATTCAGAAAGAACGGTCATATGTTTTGAGACACCCTATATAAATATATAATTTTGTCAATTTTTAGGAACCATATTAGTGAAACCTTAGACGTATATATTAAGATAAACCAAGCAGTTTGTAGAGCTAAGTAACTACACCATCTTTATTGTCGTTGTTAGTTGTTTCTTTATCTTATATACAGTAAGTAGAGCAGCGTCTCTTTTTGTTCAGGAGGGAGGGAGTGGAGAATTTTAATGCGATAGATATAGATCCAATAACAGCAAAGATTGTTATCGTCACTGCTTGTTGCTGGCATGTTTAGTCTATGTTAATACACATATACCTATGCTTAAATCTTCGTACTTCTTACAAAGTGGCTCTTATTTCCTAAGTCTGCTTTGTCAAATTACCGTGTATCGCTGGAGCGTAGAAGAACAAGGGCAAATGATAAAATTGTTTGATTAAAATGGGTGTTCTTGTCGGGCAACATTCCATGCGCTTCGTATCAGGCACCTGTTACGTTCTACCGGTATTAACATCGAATTTCGACGGATTAAAATGATAGACACATTAACTAAAAACAGTACTTCCAAATTTATTTGTTTTTATTCTAAAATTGGCAGGAGTAAAGAAAATCGTCTTTATGAATGACTTTATCAAAAATTACCATAATTCGTCGTTTTTGCTACCATCATCACAAAATATGCAGAAGTCATTTCATCTGGCACGAGATGGTCCAATCATCGCACAGTGCCATTTCTGAAATATTTTCGGAGCTGCTTGTCTTCAAAAATCTTTCTTTTTGTACCTTTTTTCAGTTTCGTTGTTTTCACTTTGCCCTTTTGTGCATTTTAATGCTTGTATAAACAATATTGTCTTTCTTTTTTTTTTAATTTCCTTATCAAGT